CGCGGGGCGGCCGGGGGCGCGGGCGGCAGCAGCAGGCACGCCCCGTCGCGGTAGCAGTACTCGTGCAGCTGGTGGCTGAGGAACTCCACCTCGGCCTGCTCGTCCGCCAGCAGCTCCTCGCCGTCCTCCAGAGGGTCCCGGGAAGACTGGTCGGTGAAGAAGTCTTCCTCGTCGAAGCAGGAGGCCGGGAAGGCGTCCAGGCCGGCGGGGAAGTGCTCCAGCAGCACCGCGTCCATGCTCCCGGCCGTCGCGGGCCGGAGGGGCTGCCCGGGTTCTTTGTCAGCGCTGGGAGCGGACCCCGCGGGTGCCGCAGCCCCTCCCTCCAGGCAAGCGCGGGGCGCGGCGAGGCTGCCCGCCCCCGGCACTCCCTGGAGCGCCCGCGGCGGCTGCTCTGGGGCCGGCGTCTGGGGAGGGCTGGGACGGACTTGCAGGAGCTGAGGGCCGGCACGCGAGGATTCTTATAACTACATCCATAGGCGCGTGCCAGGGACCCGCCGCGCCAGCCAATCAGAGCGCGGGGCGCTGGCGGGGAGGGGGCCGGAGGCTGAGGCGGCGGCCCGGCCGCCCGCGCCCTTCCGGAGCTCGGGGGAAGGAGGCGGGGCTCTCCGCGCTCTGGTGCCCGCTCGTACCTGCCCCGTGGCGGTGCAGGAGGCACCTGCGCCCGGGGCGCCCGCCGCCTGGCCGTGCGCTCCGCTGCGGTCCGGTCTGGGGACCGCGTCCGCGCAGCAAGTGAGAGCCGGGGAGTGCGAGACTGGAGTCCGCAGGGCGCTCGCTGCTCCTCCGCCCGCTCCGCGCAGAAACTGCCCAGAGCCCGGGCGATCGAGCGCCCTGGAGAGGGGCGGGTCGGTACCTTTCGCCAGGCACACCCGGGCGCGCGGGCTGGGAGTCGGGTTGGGTGGGGATTCTTTCCCATCACCGGACCTTTGGGGGACTCTCGCGGAGTTTGCAGAGGAGGTGCTGCAGGCGCCTTGGAAGGCGACCTGGTCTCACTCTCGGGGTTCGGACGAGGCGCGGCGTCCTGGAGAGGCCGGGGTCCCCCGCTGCTCCGCCCGCTGCCTCCGGCCGCGCGCGCCCCGCCCTCTCGGCGCGGAGAAAGGACTGAGGGTCACGGCGGGAGGGGCGCTTCGGAGCAGCCCAGTGGGGCGCGTTTCTTTGCGAGCACATCGAGAGCCTGGGCGTTCTGAGCAATAAACTCCGCACAAAAGCAATCAGTTGAATCCTGGACTCGGAGCGGTGCGGAGGGTAAGCGTTGACGCTAAAGGGCAGAGTGATGGGCCGCCAAGACCAGCCAAGGATTGTTTTCCCCTCGACTTTTCTTTTTAAAATACAAAACTTAGGCACTCTGCCCCAAGACACACTTACCATAGACAGAGATGCAATATGAATTCCTCGTGTAAGGACAACAAAGGCACTTTCAAGGTCGGGGCAGTTTCTGGTAAAAGCCAAGCTCCAGCTTCCACCCGGGAGCGTTAAGAAGCCCAGCCAGGCGCTATTCCCGACGGAGGGCCAGGGGAGTCACCTTCCAGGGTTCCCATCCCTGTTCGGACTTTGTTCCTGTGGAGGTTCTTTGTAGGTCATTCAGACTCTCCTTGAAACCCAAGTCCGCTGAGAACAGTGCCTGAAACTGGATTTCATTGAATTCTAAGAGCAAAGATTTAAGGCAGAAGAATACAGAAGAGCTCTGTCCTACCTTGTACTGTCAGGACCCTCAGACGGTTCTCACAAGAGACTCACCGTTTTCCATCAGGTTCCTTAGCGGGTTTGTCTCTTCGTCCATGCCTTCTTCATCGCGCGGAAATTCAGATGAAAGGCATGGGAAAGTGATCAGGTTCCGCGCGATGGAGGCGGAGCTGTGTTGTTCTGAATCTAGATTCCTCTTTTTACCCCCAAAGAGATGGAAGCTTCCATGCCTATGAGGGAGGTATCAAGACTAGGGGTCTAGCCAGCTGCTTTGTGTGCCCAGTTCCCTTCCCATTTAAGAGACCCTGCCCTGCCCTCGCGTGGTTGGAATAAAACTAAATGAATCAATCTGAGGACGTACAAGAGGGACAGATGACCTGACTTGAAATCTTACCCAAAATATTGATAGCCATTTACTGAAGAGAAGACTGGGTCTGAGCCGACCACAGCCCTCTTTGAGAGGTTAAGAAGCCTTCTCGGATGGGTCTAGCTGGCTCCTGAGAAAGTATATTTGGCCCGATGTGCAGGGAGGGGCTGCTGGGAGACTAAGGAGTAAGTGTCTATGAGTAGCATGTTTAATTCAATGTGATTTTAACAGCTTCCATAAAATCATCTCACCTGTGTTTGGTGAGTTTGTGGAAAAGTTCCAGAAATTTATTTTGGATGCCCAGGTGAGTTAATGGTCAATCTGCTGCTGGTTGGAAACCTTACTGTCTCCTAAGGCTGGGCCGGGCTCACATGGAAGTTCTGAGCATCTCCTGGGGGCAGATGGACATGGGCTGGGAGGAAGAGAGAGTACTTTCCTGTGGCCCTTTCCTTTCTCTTAGAGAATTGCTGGCTGGCTGCAGCCTGGTCTTTTTGGAAAGTTAGGACAAGGTCTGCAGACACACACACATGCACACACAGAGAGAGAGGGAGGAAATAGGGAGGGAGGAAGAAGTAAGACATGATCATTCTATTCTCTTATAAAAAAAAGAAAGACCTCTGATAATAAAGGGGATTTTCTCTGGGTCACTGCATGTCACAGCAGTGTGGAGGGGCTGCCCTCCACCATGTGGAGCAACAGGTCCAATGAGGAGCAGACTGGAATGGAACCTTATTGTGCCAGACCAGAGCCTCTCAGGCTCATCACAGCCCGGAACATCTCTGGGCAGGGGATGTAGAGAACCATGTGATCAAAAGATTTCAGGTAGCTCATGTCCAGGGAGGGCTGGTCCAGGAGCTGCAAGCATCTCCATTCCCTGCTAAGCTCAAGCCGGCCCTTTGCCATTCTGTCCTCATGAGGGATGTCCCCTAACCTTATAAAGAACCCCTGCTTCAATATAAGATGACATCCTGTCTCCCAAGGTGCACAGGAAGAGCACTTGGTTCCCTACTGTCAAATCCCGGGAGACCTCAAGACTTTTCCAAGTCTGTCCACAAGGGCTCACTGATTGCTCCCTGTGGTCCTGGGCCTGATGCATGGTCACACCTCTTCCTCCTCTGGGTGCTCATAGGCCTTGGTGGACTCCTGGGTCCTGAGTTCCAGGAGAATGCCTGGCAAGAGCCATAGAGCTTGAACCTTGACCTACCCTCCCTCCTTTCCAGTCCAGCTCTTCCCCAGGACTCTCGGGACCCAAGTCAGTCTTCATTTGTTTCTGGTGGAACAGTCCCATCATTCCCTATCTTCTAGGAGCATGATGAGAGAGGTCTTCCCAGGACGAATTCAAGCAGAGACCACTAATGAAGATCAGTGTCTCCAAGCTTTCAGCTTCCCTGTCCTCATGGAGAACTCTTCTAGTGCCCAATATGTGACCCATGCCCTAGCTGCTGGAACTCAAACTGCAGACACTGGGAAATAGCTGTCATGTGGCCCACGCGCCTTCTTGGTGCTGCAAGCAGGACCTTGTGGATGAGACTCGTGGTGATTTTCCAACTAGAAAATGGATCCATATTAATCTCTTCTGGCCCAAAGTGTCGCCTTGCCCACCTCATCTCAGAAACAAAGGGTATGGGCAGGTGGGTGGCCTAACCATGGCTGTGTTTCTTTCCTTTCTTTGCTGCTACCTTCAAACCAGTCTGAGGTATTTTTCTTGTCCCCACTTGGGTGCCCCATACCTTGCATCCTTTATACTCATGCTCCTAGCAAAGGGTTTGAAAAGTAATTCCGAGTTCATACAGAAAGTCTTCAGAAAGACCTCCGAGGTCCAGTGAGGTCCGGTGACCTCTCTCAGGTCACACAGCAGTCCCAGTCCCAGTCCAGCCCAGCCCAGTGCTGGTTCCACTAAATGCTGAGAGCAGCTTCCAGCCCTGCTTCTGTCACTCATAACAGCTGTGTTTCTACTAAGTTCAGACCTCTCTAGAGCAGGCTGGGTTACATCAGTCATCGGGCCACCTCGTTGGCTTCCTCCCTTGGCATCCCTGGATGGGCTCAAGCTGTGCTTGACAATGAGAAGTGATAACAGCAGAGGAAGAAGTATCTCAAGCATAAGACCTAATACAGTCTGGGGTCAAAGGACAGGCTCTGACCTCCAAGGTCACGCTCTGCCAGGCATGTGGTGCATGATAGGCCTAATCCAACTACTCAGGAGGCCGAGGCAGAAAATCAAGAGTTCAAGCCTAACCTGGGCAATTTAGTGAGACCATGCCTAAAAATGTAAAAGTTTATAGAGGGGCTGGGGGTATGGCTTAATATGAAGGCCCTAGGCTCTGTACCAAAAATGATGGTGGTGGGGACTATAGATCAGGGGTATGATGCTAAACTCTAGGCCTTCTGCTACCTCTCCGTTCACACTTCCCTTGGTCACTTTCGGAGTCATTTTACTCCATCCTGAGTGCCATCAAAAGGCATGCTGCCTCCTCTGGTCTTCCTTCTCACTCCTGCTCACCTGTCCCCTGGTCTGTGGGCTCCATGCTGTGGTTTGGAGATCTTATCCTTACTATCTCCTAAGTCAGATGGAAGGAATAATACTAATGCTAGAAAAGGTGTAATTGAACAGGGCCCTTGCAGGCATGATTACCACTCATCCTCAGAACTGTGCGAGCTTAGTGTTCTTTTCATTCAACTGGTGACTCAATAAAGCTCCATCTCCCAGCCAGGGCTGCAAGCCCAGTGACAGGCAGATGTCTCCATGAAGTTCAGCTGGTGTGGTGCCGCGCACGCGCGCGCGCGTGTGTGTGTGTGTGTGTGTGTGTGTGTGTGTGTGTGTGTGAAGTAACTCCTTTCCAGCCCCTTTTTGTCCTATCCTTAAAGTGGTCAACTTGATATGATTTTCATATGAATTAGCACATCCACTCCCAAAGCAGTCCTTTGAGATGAGTGGGGAAGACATCCTTATCATTTCCAAATGGAAACAGATTCAAAATGGCCAACTCGCCCCACATGACAAGCTGGCCCTGTGGACTTGAGTGGAGATGAGTAGATTTCCACTCCAGGGAGTGGGGGTCTCAGTACCACGGGGGAAGGTTCCCTGTGAGCCCCTTTCCACACGTAGGCCTCTCAACCTCAGAATATAAAGCCGGGCCATGCCCCATTTGGGACCAAGGAAGCTGTGTGCCACAGCTGCCCTGAAACAGAGCAAGTCCAGGGTCAAGCACCAGCCTCCTTCCTGCTTGCCTTTGTGTTTCTTGTTGTTAAACATTAATCTTTAAAGGGAAGAACACCTAAATGCTGATATAATAACCCAAATAAGGGTTTCCTGTTTCGCCAAGTTTTATTTGATGATTAGCAAAGCGTCTGAGCTTTGTCCTTCATTCCTATTCCAAAAGCTGTTTGAACTTGAGTAATGTAAACTTTACACATCATCCTGGCCTTCATAGCAGGGGAAAGGAAAGAATTAACAGAAAGGGCAACTTTTTCTCTAGTTTGTTTCTTTTCAGAGCTGTGTGTTTTCTCATTCCATGGCCATAGGTTGGGCCTTATGTAAATTGTGGTACATCCATATAGTGGAATATCCAACCGCCATAAAAATAACAAGAAAGGACATACTGAAGTGAACTCATCTCAAAGACACACTGGTAAGTGAAAGAAGCAAGAGTGACAGGCGGGCGTGTTCCCACTTGCCTCTAACAAGAAGAGAACAGTAAATCCATATAGTGTTTTCCTGCAGGCCTCAATGGATTCACAAGATATTGATGGGACTGGGTTATTAGTGGATAGAATTGCTCATTGTATATGCCTTTGTATCTTTTGATTTTTTTCATGCTCTCTTCATCCAAGACCTGAAATCTGGACTGTAGTGTTTGCCATCTTAAAAACCCAGCGAGGGCCCTGGGGCAGACAGACCCAGCAACGGCTGGCAGGGTGAGTTCCTTCTGTAACCAAATCCCACCTAGTGTGCAGTTCAAATAGGATGACTTTGGAAGAAATGTTATTCCTTATATGAAATCAATATTGAGCAAAATTTACAGGTATTCAACAGTGTAAAGAGGATTTTAAATCACTAAATACTTGTGAAAGCCACATTTTCTCTGTTGTCTGCAGTTCCTTACTTACAGGTGACTGCTAACCTTTTAGGATATTTTCTTCCATGTATTTCTAGTTCAGAATCTTGCATTTTTCCGTTGACAGTGTTTCATCATCATTGCTTCATACGTTTATTTTAGCTTTGTTTTGAGACAGGGTCTCACTATGTAGTTTAGGCTGGTCTTGAACTCACAGTGATCTTTCTGCCTCAGCATCCAAAGTGTTGGGATTATAGGCATGCGCCACCATGCCCGGCTTCCATATCTTTACTGACAGGCTGTAATGATGACAGGAGGGTTTGTCATATGGTTTTATTGTTGGACATTATTTTCACTTTGCTCTAAGCCACACTGTCTGCCTCTCTTAGAATACCTTTGTATTCTATGGTCTGACTTTATTCTTTGTCTAATGGGCTTTTTTTTTTTTTTTTTCAGTACTGGGGATCAAACTCATGACCTTGCGCTTGCCAGGCAGGTGCTTATGCCACTGAGCTATATCCCCAGCCCTTAAGGGACATTTTTAATTCCCTCAGAATTCTTTCTCTTATTTATAATACCTTACATTCATATCTGTGTTCCTGAAATGTTAGGGTATTGTAGTGGCATTATTATTGAGATTTCCTTAAAATCCTACTTTAGAATAAAAAGAAAACTCTTTTCTCAGCTGGGTGAATCTGTGCTTGACAAAGTGTGTACCAGACTACCCATGGTTCCAGAATGGAAATGCTGGGTATTAGTCAAGAACATCAGTTTCTTAGGGAAAGCTGCCTAAACACCTGGGCAGGTTTTCATGTTGGCCTTCTTTCTTTCTCCTTTCCCTCCTTCCTCCCATTTCTCCTTCCCTTCTTCCTTCCTTCCTTTCCTCCTTTCTTCCTTTTCTTTTTTTCTTTGCTCCTTTCTCTGTTTTTTCTTCCTTCCTCCCTTTCTTTCCTTCTTCCTTCCTTCTTTTTAGCTTTCTTTTTTCTCCTTCCTTTCTCCCTCCCTCCTTTCTTCCTTGCCTCTTTTCTTCTTTGTTTCCTTTTTCCTTTTCCCCTTCCTTTTCTTTTTTCTCTTTTCTTTCCTTCCTTCCTTCTATTTTTTCTTTCTTCCCTTTCCTTTTTTCCTCCTTTCCTAGGATTTGAACCCAAGACACCATTCATACTAAGTAAGTGCTCTACCACTAAGCTATATCCCCAGCTGTCTAAGGTATGCTGAGCTTTGTAAGATATAAGCACACTGTATGTTCCCAGCCATGGCTCAGGTTTTGTCACCATATATTGCCTCTGCTCCTGCATATATAAAAAGAAATGCTAATATTTCATGGGGTTACTTTGAGCATTGAGTTAACAAACAGAAAGCATATAAGTAGCGCCTGGCACATTATGATAGTTGCTCACTTAGTTATTTTGTCATGATAGGTGGTGAGTATTGATGGAATGGATGACTGCATGTCACTGCTGAGAAGTAGGGACTCTCTTCATCAGGCGGGAGGGCTACATAAGTCATCTGGGCCCTGTGGGGAATAGTTGTGGTAGGTACAGCAAGGCCATAGTGCTCAATGGGATCTTTCTTGCTCATTTTCCTACTTCCTCTGCAGTGTCCTTCCGTGGGTGACCAGGGAGCCGCACACTCTAGCTTCAGTGCAGGGACTAGATGTTGGTGCTCCCCTCACACTTACATTTTCACTGGCTTTACCTGGGAGTAAGTGAGTTTGCCTTACCTGGAAGAAAAACTAAGCCCAGCTGGCTGTAGGACACCAGCGCTTCACCATTGCTCTTCCCACTGCAGTCAGGGGCTCTGTTTCTGGATATCTCTCTCCCTTAAAGGGGGGCTGTTCCATAGGGTCGTTGCTCCTGGTGGGGACCTGGCATTCCCATGGGCCTCAAACTTTCTGGAGCCACATTTCTTCAGTTAAGGCTCTCAACTTCATGACAACAGTGTTTCCATTTTGTGACATGATTTAGATGATCATCTTTAAAAACATTGACAAAAAAATATCTGCATGTTCTGGATCATCTAGATGACACCTTAAAAGCTCGCCCCACCATTGGACTTGGAACCAGAACCTCACTGTATGCAATGTGACCAAAAACTATGGTGAATATTCACATTAAAAATGAAAACAAATTATTACAGTGAAAGACACATTGCCACCAATCTCCCTTAAAGTACTGCCTCTTGCTTCAAATATACTTATCCCACCATTCCTGCCACTTCTTATAGCAATTCTGGAAGTCATCTTTTGTGGTTGCCTCAATGCCTTGAATTGACTGAAAATATTTACAGCAATTTCTGTCAAATAAAAACACTGTGGTGTGTCCTTGCCCACCTTATTCACTTTTGTTATACTGTGTGACTCTTGGCTCTTACCCAATGTCAAAGTGACCATGAAAGGTGAACTATTTGAATGGATGCTGGACACTGAGGCAGCCACGACAGTATAACTAATGATACTCATGAGAGAGGACTTCCAGAACTGCTGCAGAAAGCAGTAAGAATGATGGGATAGGCCGAGGGTGGCACGGGGCTGTAGCTCAGCAGGCTGGGCCTGGCCAGAGGCCTCAGGACTCGGTTGTAGTGAAACTCGAGTGTCAGAGTGACCCAAGAGCAGCACACAGGGGCCGATGACCGACTACAGTGAGGAGCAGAGGAAAGAGCTATAGGCTCTGGAGTCCATCTACCTTGACTCCTTCACAGTATTATCAGAAAATCCACGCAGCTTCACCATTCCTGTGACAACTGAGGCTGGAGAAAATGATGAAATTGTCCAGACTACCCTCAAATGTACATACAGTGAAAAATACCCAGATGAAGCTCCTCTTCATGATATATTCTCCCAGGAAAATCTAGAAGATGATGGTGTTACAGACATTTTAAAATTATCCACATTGCAGGCTGAGGAAAATCTTAGTGTGGTCATGATCTTTACTGTAGTGACAGCAGTGCAAGAAAAATTAAGTGAAATGGTAGAACAGATAAAAAAGAGGAGAGAGGAAGAAAAGAAACTAAAGGAAAAAGAAGCAGAGAAGCAATTATTCCATGGCACCCTTGTTACGATTGAGGATTTCTTATGTTGGGAAGCCCAGTTTGATGCAGACCTCTTGGAAATTAAAAAGAAACGGATGAAAGAAGAAGAACAAGCAGGAAAAAATAAACTGAGTAGCAAACAGCTGTCTGAAACAGATCATAACCTTGACACATCTGATCTCCAGCTCTTGGAGGATGCTGGAAACAGTGTGGAAGTAGATGAGTCTCTGTTCCAGGAAATGGGTGACGTGGAGCTGGAGGACGTTGAAGACGAACCAGACCACAATCCTGCGGACGCAGGAAGTGGCTCCACAGAGGGACAAACTGTCTCCATCTCCAGAGAGGCTCGACAGCCACAGTGTGTTGTGGCTATGCTGAGAGGGTTTAACTTTCTTTTTTTTGTCGTTTTGAGACAGGGTCTCGCTATGCAGCTCAGGCGGGCTTGAGCTCACTTTGTAGCCCAGGCTGGTCTTGAACTCACAATGATCCTCCTGCTTCAGCCTCCCAAGTGCTGGGATTACAGGCGTGCACCACCACACCCGGAAAGACAAACTATCTACCACTGAACTGTAGCCCCCAGCTTTTTAGTTTATTTTGACTGTTTTTTTTTTTTTTAACCAGGAATCAAACTCAGGACCTTGCACTTGCCAGGCAGGCACTTTGCCACTGAGCTATATCTCTGGCCTGTATTTAACTTTCCTTTCTTGTTTTTCTAAAACAAAATAATTTGCAGGAGAATATTCTAATAACTTTCATCATTGAACTTAATAAACTGACCATAACACTTCACATATAAAATGTGCACTTCCTCTTACTGGAGAACAAAAATAACATATTTAGCATTATTTAATGTTGGAGAGAGAGCCTACCTATAGCACCAAGACTTGAAGGTGGACTGCTGCCATGGACATAACGGTGCTTATGCGGAAGGAATCGGTGTAACTTGTAAATTCTATCCTGGCGATGATGACTACTTTTGGATTCCAAATACTGTCTTTCACATACAGTATTACAGTACTGAGATACATAAATAGAAAATTAAACCTGGACTCTAGCCTCTTAGCACAGTAAAATTAAGTTTTAAGAGAACTAGAAGCCCAGATTATAGGCAAGAATAAAGTGGACATCATCACTATAAAAAAAAGATTGATGCGATAAGTGTGTTTGAACTGAAGGAGAGTTGTATTTTAAGGGGTTTTAATGGCAATGTGTCTTTTATTGTAATAATTTTTTTAATTGACACAGTTATTGTCGTTTTTGAGCACACATCATACATTTGTGTTTAAGATTGTGGTGATGCCAATCAGGCGACTAAACTAGGCTACAGAAAACACAGTGATACTGTGCTTGGGCCAAGAAAATGCCAAATAACCACACAAAAAGCCAGACATAGTAATGAAACAAGGGCTGGGAAAAAGTGAATGGTCACATGGCTCATAGTAAACTTGAAGACTGGGACCCACCCATGTCATTTCTAAGTGGCATATGTCATTATGAAAGGTGTCATCTGTCACATTACATATGTTAATTCAAATTTTATTGATTTGTAAACTTTTTATTGAATTTCTTAGTTTTACAGTTACACAAGAGCAACATGTATAAAGAGCTTATTCTAACTTTACAATTATTTAAGTAATTTTATATTAATAATTACTGTGGCATGAAGGCCCATGAGTGATTTTATTGGTAACTTTTTTTATGAAAAGGTAGGCATTTTATAAATAAGCACATATACTGTATGTATGTACATATATGTGTAAATAGTAATATATATGTAGATAACTATACACACATATTACACATGTAGTTTAAGAAATACCACTCCAGATGATTATTCATTACACAAGTTTGGCTTTATGAGTTTGAAAGCAAAAAGAAGACATGAAAATAAACATGAAGTAAAGTAAAAGAAGAAAGAAGAGATAAGAGGAAGAGTTTGGAAGGTAAGAAGAGCATAGACAGAGAGGAAGCTGGGGAATTCAGACGTTTGACTCACACAGATCTGAACTCATGGTTGGTACCTGCTCCACCCCTAATGGGTGTTCGTTCCTGGGTAAGTGATTTCATTTTGCTGAGCTGAAGTTCACTGTCTATAGCCATGGAAAGAAATAATAATATCCACCTTAAGGACTGTTAAAAGTAAATGAAGTTATAAATGTAAATTAATTAGCTGACACATAATAAGTGCTTAATGAATGTCAGATCCTCTCCTGTTCCCTCTACACTCAGTAGTTAATTAGTACATACTTAAAACTACCTATAAAGTCCAGAATATAAAACAAAAAAAAGAGAGTAAAAAGAGATGAATGAGAAATGATAGCACAAGTATTCAAGGAAATGGAGGGTTCCCATTAGTATTTTTCACTTCAATGTCTAATTGCGTGAGTAAAGGAACCATCTTTAAAACGTTAGCCCTCCCCAAGCTTTTGACTGCACATCTTCTGTAATTTTGGATAAAGGTTTTGGCTTCTATAAGATTTAAAGATAAGGGTAATAAAATTCAATGGTCTTTGACTTAGAAGAGTTCTGCTTAAGATTTTCTAACTTTAGGATGGTATGAAAGCAATTAGCATTCAGTAGAAACTACATGCTAAATTGCAATTTTTTTCCCGAAATAGTGGTATAGTATATGGTATGATACATTCTTTCGGTGCTGGTCCATACATCCCAGTCAGCCAAGTATCATGAGAGTAAATAATGGATACTCTCTGCGGTACTGGTTTGTCAGATTTTTGGAGATTGTGTTTTGTGTTTTTGTATCCCATCATATATGTAAAATGCCCATTTGTGTGTGCACATGAGATATTCAATGGTTTATTATAAAGTAAAATTTGTATTCAATGATTCTGTCCAACTGTAGACTATTGAAAGTATTCTGAACACATTTAAGGCAGGCTAGGCTAATCTATAATGTTCATAGCTTAGGTGTATTAAATGTATCTTCAACTAAATGACAAATCTCAATTTATGATGTTCATCAAGATTTAATCCCATTGTAAGATGATCATCTATAACATTTATGTCTCACTTATGTAGTAGTCTGAGCACAGCAAATCTAAAGTTTCTATGGTGGCTTAATGGGTTAGTGGCCCAACTTCCTTGCAATTTCTTTCTCTGTCTTCTTGAAACATGGCTTCCCCTACCCCAAATTCAATATGGCTGTTCCCACTTCCTGTACCTGTATGTCAGACATCAAGAAGATAAAACACATTGTTTTCCTTTTAACAACCATACCTAGCTGGACCTGGTGGTGCATGCCTGTTATCCCAGCACTCAAGAGCCTGAGGCAGGAAGATCACCATGAGTTCCAGACCATCCTGGGCTACATAGTGAGTCAAGGCCAGCCTCAGCTATATAGTGAGACACTGTCTGAAAAAAAAAACCACACCGTACCAAATGGTTGTACATATTATGAATGACCACATTGGTCACATTCAGTTGGTCTGAGAGATCACATGGCCACATTTAGCTGCAAGGGAAGCTAACAGACCTAGTCTTGAGCTGGGTTGCCATATTTCTAGTTAAACTTGCAGTGTTATCCAAAAAAAGGGAAGAGGGCTGGGGATTTAGCTCAGCGGCAAAGCGCCTGCCTGGCAAGCGCAAGGTCGTGAGTTCGGTTCCTGGTACCGGAGAAAAACCAAAAAAAAAAAAAAAAAAAAAAAAAACACACACACAAAAAAAAGGGGAAGAAAAATGTTGTATGTTATGGGGATCAGATAGAATTACTTGTCTCTTTCACACCTTATCATTACCATTTTGAGTACACATCCATAAGTATATATTTATATATTTAAATTACTACAAATTTGACTACACTAAACATTGGGTACATTTTACTTCTTTTTTGTTTCGTCTTGGGGGGACACTTTAAAACATTCACAAAAGAAAATTTAAGATGAGAAAAATATAATAAAAGTTCTAACATTTTTTCCCAAGCCCAAGAAGGCTACCTTGTTTGCTGTGGAGCCTACTAGTGCCACAGAATGCCAAACAATCACTTGAGCTGAGTGTCATCCTTTAAATCATTAGATATGAAGTGAGAGGAAATCTAGGAATACCGAGAACATGCAAAAAGCATCCTGTTTTAAGCCTTCATTGATTTGTCACCAGCTCTTTACAAGCAACTGTATTAAGTGTGAGGGGCGCTTGGATGATTAAGATGCAGTTTCTGTGTCAACACATTTTGGGGGTACTAAGAGGCAGGAGCAGATAATTATCACCCAGTACAGAAAGGGATAACAAGGGACAGGGAAGTCTTCACAAAGGGAGTGTTGTCTGGGGGTATAGTTCCATGGTGGACCACATGCTTAGCACGTGCAAGGCCCTTGGTAAAATCTCTAGGAAATGAAGGAAAGGAGGAAGATAGGGAGGGAACGGCGATAATATTGAACTGAGTCATGCAGGAATGTGACCACAGGAGAGGGGCAGGAATGTATTCCAGGAAAGCTGAACATATTTATCAAAACCCAGGGTGTGTAGTAGCCCATGGATTTCCCTGGATTAGGGGAACGACTGCCAGTGAAGTCTCAGTTTCAAGCAAAGCCCAGGCTCATTGCCTTTCTGGGTGCTTCCGTGCACCTCAGCCCATACCAGGCCAGGCATGGAGTGAGTGGCCTCATGATGACCACACGGATTCCCCACCAAAACCCGTGTCCTCAACAATGTCCAGTGCTCCAAATTATCCTTTTGGCCCTGTCTAAAAGCCGATTACTTCAGGGCCATTGATCTCAGCTAGAGGCCATAAAGGAAAACATCTGCTGCACTAAGGTATGAGCAGCACATGGCAACCACGTCTCTATCTCCCTGCACTTTGTTAGTGCCCTGGAGAGGTAATGCCGTAAATCAAGGAATGCGTTTTTTAAGTGTGGCGTTTGTGGCCTTCTTGTGTTTGCTTGAAAGCATTCTGGGGGGTAGCCAGGGGTTTTCTCGTGTCCCTTGCATCTCAGTGTAGTGAACCTTTGCCAGCCTGGGAAACCTGGTCCTGTGTTCATCTCAGGGCAAAAGACTTCTCTGTCCTCCCCTGCTCCCGATCCTCTGTGTCTTTTTTCAGAAGTTTAACACCTGCCACACCTGAACACTAACCCAGAAGGGAGCTGGGAAGGTGCAGAGACGCTTGGAAGTGATACAGGCTTCTGCCAGAGACGTGGAGCTACACATGCACCATCTATTTCATTATTTTCCTGCCCTGATTTTAAATGAGGTTTCTGTTGTCACTGGCTTTAGAGGGCCCCAAAATATAGGCAGCACTTTCCTTCTTCAGTCGGACAGGTTTGAGCAGGGAGGAAAGGGAGGTGCAGAAGGACCGTGATGTACTTTCTGGATGTAGGGTGAGGATGTCACTCAGTGGTAAAGCACTTGCCTGATATGCATGAGACCCTGGGTTTCTTCCCCAGCAACACACACACACACACACACACACACACACACACATACAAGCAAACGCACTCACAGTCACAAAGTAGCAGTGACATTAACCTGAAAAGTTTCTGTCATTAATAGACTGAGGGAGCCAGCAGGGCATAGGTCTCTTTTCTTCTTCCAGATAGAAATGATTTGCCTTCCCTGGCCTCTGTGGGGTGAGCTAGAGCTAAGGAAAATGAGATGTCACATCTGAGGAAGTCCTAGGAGCCAGTCCTCAGTTTCTCTCTCTTTCTTGCCTCTCCTGTAATGGTGGTGGGAACCCAGCTGGAGGTAGAACCTGTGAACTGGGGATCTCAGACGACCATGGGCTAGAAATAGATTGTGGTTGTGTGAAGCCACTGAGATGTAGGGGTTGCTTCTGCATCTTCCCCTGGCCGGAGACACCTGGGATGAGGCATATCACACTATGCTCCTTGTGTCATTGTATAGTGACACAGTACATTTGTGCATGAGTTCAAAATCTTTTCATTTTAAGTAATTATCACCAGTTTGCACTAATTTAAATATTAAAAAGGACTGAGGACACGGGACCCACAGATCTTCTAGAATCCAAGAACAGAAATGTGTGGAGGCCTCGGGAGACCAGTATTACCTATTGTCATAGAAACTGGAGATCATCCATTATCTATCTTTTCCTTCCTTTAGGAAAAGAAGCCCAGAATTTTAACTGGGCAAGTGTCCAGTCAGAATAAAAACTACATTAGTTAACTGTCCCTTGCAGCTCAGTGTGGCTGTGAAACGAACTTCTAACTAATGAGTTGTGGACAGAAGTGAAGCTTACCTTTGGGACTCAGTCTCTGAAGGGGAGTGACGAAGTCTATGTTGTCGCTTTATCTCTTTCCACTGCATGGAAGGCAAAGTCAATGGGAGAAAGTGGAGTGGCCACTTCTGAACCGTGAGTTCAGAGTTATGTACTGAGGATAGATAAATAATGCCATGGGAGGAACTTGAGTATCCTACACCACCAAGCCTCAGATAGCTATCCAGGTTTGCCTTTGTGAGAGATAGACTTCCATCTTGTATTTTTTTTTTTTATTTTAAGGATAAAAGGAGGGAAACATTAACAGACATACAACATTTTACAACATATCACAAGCACAATACAGACAATACAGAGTTACAAACAAAGTGGTAGGGAATTAACAATGGTGGTTGTATTACATATTGATATCTTCAAAGCGGCTTCTCATGAAAACAGATATAGACATGCAATACTGGTCAACCAAAGACTCATTGACAGTTTCTTTCAGCATAGAAATAGAAGACAGAAGAACAACCATGTTATCTATCCTGTATATACATACATTAACAACTCTTCTATAGAGCAGCCAAACTTGAATCCCAGTTAACGCCCCATGAACTGGAAGGGTGCCTAGATAGTCCCTTCATTCTGCTGTTGCCCTTTACATCTTCATTCTTTCGATTTTCTGTGGACCAGCTTTCTTTGTTTTCTCTTACAGAAACATGGCTGCCTTAGAGATGGACTACGTTCATTTATACCACGCACATTCACTGAATACCTGTTCTGTGCTGGAAACTGCAATGGGCATTAGTGACAGGACAGTAAATAAAGCAGATCCTTTATCATGGAGCTTACAGCCAGTGGGAATGAGAGCAAAGGTAGAGATCGATATGAATCAGAGGTGGGACATGATGATCATGACATATGAAGAAGCAAAAGGACTTTATTACGAATGAAGTAAAGGGAAGATGAGGATGCAGATGAACGCCTTCCATCTAGAGCAGGGAACACCCTGTGTGTTGTGTGAAGGAGTTTGACATCATAGAGACCAGTCATTCCAGAGTGGATTAACTCCACTGGGGCATGGGAAGAAGCTATTAGAATTATCCTCTGTATTTTTATCTCATGCTTTTCCAGTGTGCATGCCTTTACATTCTTTATAATGTATGTAATTGATTGCTACTGTAGCACATTTACAATGTGTAAATAATCAGGGAATGAGGCTCAGAAATAGAGTGTTTGCCTCGCATGTACAAGGAGGCCCTGGGTTCTGCCCCAACATGGAGGTAGGATAATCAGGAAACAGCCATCAAAGAATTTTTAGCAGGGTCAGTTTTTCCATTTGGGAAGGAAACCTGGGCTGCAGCGTGGAGAAGACTGCAGTTAGAGAGACCATTCAGGAGGTGAACTGCAGTAGATGAAGAGCTGAGAGATTCTAGGATTTGTGACTTACTCAGTGTGCGGCTTGGAAAAGAGAAAAGTGAAAAGATGATATGGAAGATTCTGTTTGGGGCATGGAGATGAATGGTGAGCCTGTTACTGCAGCTTCAGGCTAGATAAAGTCTGTAAATTGTCCTTAAATTTGAGGGCATAGAAGTCACTGGTGAAAATGATCCGAAGAGTTTTGGTGTGCGAGTAGGTCAGTGTGCAGTGTTGAGGACTGAATCAAGGTGAAATAGAAATCCGTACGTGGGGGGACGTATGTGAGACGCGGAGTTGTGCGTGTGATAAGAGACAACAGGGGTGGTTGTGTTTAAGATGGGAAAGACTCTCATCTTGTAAAGAACCCAGTCTCTCGCCTTTATTCTCTTCTCCATTCTTTTCAGACACACAACTGTCTTTACTCTTTTCACCATTCCTGGTGCAACTTCCCTGCTACTGTGAGAACGTCGCTCAATTCTGCTCTGTCAGAAGCCAACCCTAACCATAAGTGACACTTACAACACCGTAGTAGTGGCCGTCACTTGCAACAAGGAAAATGAAGCTGCCAGCTAAACAGACAAATAACGGAAGAACCCGGGCAGGCTCTGGAACCTTCCTACGTTCCCTGCAGACACACCCTAAAAGCCACAGAACACCTCAGATTGTTTTTTAGCTGTCTTAAAGATCATAGCAGTGTCTTGTTATGTGCTGTTTGTTTTGTTTTGTTTTTCAGTTTTTGAGCCACATGAAATCTTTTTGGGGCCCAATCTAGGAAGGAAGTAAACCCCACTCACAAGAGGGGTGCATTTTGGAAGTTTTTTTTTCAGAACCCAGCTTGAAGGTGAGTTCCTGGCTTCCCCGGCCTTGGGGAGCACGGAGGCACAAGAGTGACCCACGGAGGGCATAGCAACTCAGGCACCTTCCTTGGTTTTCTTCTGGGCAGAGCTGGGGAGAGAGTCACCAAGGAAGGGAGAACTGCTGTTAAATGCGAGGGAGCTGGGCCTATGGACAAGAAGAGTGTGGGCCTTGTGGGAAATTCAGGTCTTGGCAGAACTGGGGTTCCAAGGGCCCAACCGCCCCTTCCCCAGGCCCGGGGGAACGTCCCTATTCCCCGAGAGCCGGCCTGCGCTCTCCTTCTGCTCTTTGCCTTGGAAATGGGTCAGGGCTGGGCAGAAGCCCAAAGCCTCTCCGCATTGCCTTCTCCATCAAGTGGCGCCCATAAATAACATCCCGGGGGCCCCCTCTCCAAGCGGCTTTCTCTACCAGCCCCTGGACCTCCACCTGCAGCCCTGGCTGGCTGCTAGGCCACAGATGAGCAAGAGCCGCTCCGCGAGTGGCAGCCGAGGCGGGAGGCCCCTTCCTCCCCTCCTTCCCCTCCCGGGGCGTTTGTAAAGCAGGCACCTGCAGCACGGGCGGCCGCCGGGGCTCCCGACACAAGGCGCTGGTACCTGAGCCCTTGACTGGTAATGCACCATAAACGGCTCCTTTCAGCCCCTTTCACAGCCGGAGCGCGGGGGTCACGGTGCCTACAAACCCCTCTGTGTCCGCCTCGACTCCGGGGCCCCGGGCGCCCGGGCCTCCAGCCGCAGAGCGCGCCTGCCCGTGGGAATCCCAACACTTGTGCTCTGGCCAGGCCGGCGGGGCGGGCGGGGGAGCGGGACCACCCGGCCCTCCCAGCCGCGCCTCCTGCCCGCCGCGCCGCGCGTTCACAGAGCGCAGCGAGTGGAACGAATGGGGTGCCGCGCTCCTCAGACGGTGCGGAAGCCAAATGTGAGGCAGGACGCGACTCCCGCTCCCTCCCGGGCCCGCGGGCAACGCCCGCTCCGTCCCAAAGGTACCACGCGGGCTTCTGACCCCGCAGCGCCGCGCCCGCGTCCTCTGTCCCCGGCCGGGTTGCTGAGCCTCAGCGTCACCAAAGGTCCGAGTTCCCGGGGCGCGATCCAGGCTGCAGGGCGGCCTCGAGCGGGGCGCAGAGCCGTCGGAGCACCTGGCGGGCTCGCGTGCCGCGCACTCGAGGCGCAGGTGTCAGGGTGTCTCCCATCGCAGCCCGGCCAACAACGGACGCGCGCGCTCGGGGCAGGCGCTGGCGCCGGAGCGCTGAAGCGCAGGCTGCGTGGCCCGCGGCCACTGCCACCTCCCGGCCCGGCAGTGTGCTAGAGCCCTAGCTCGCGAGGCGCTAGACGCAGAAGTGGGTCCAGGGAAAAGTCCCAGTGTCTCCCAGAAACGGGGCAGAGTGGATGCGGAGTGTCCGAGCATGCCAAGTTTCTGTCTCCCGGGCTGGCGTGGCACTAGGAAGAGGGCGCAGCAGCCGACTCGGCGGGCGCGGCAGGACCGCCAAGCCCGGCCGGAGGGCCAAGGGCCCCAAGGAGAGCCGGCCCGGGCGTAGGCGCAGGAGACCGCGCGCTGCTCTGCCCGAGGCCTGCGCTTCAGCGCCGCGCGCCCCCTCCCGGCCCACGGGGAACCGGGGTTACCTGGGGAGCGGGGCTTTGTCGGCTGCGCTGGCTCTGGGCGGCCCCAGAACTAATTAAACGGCCCTTTTGGCGCAGGACGCTTCGAGTTGCACGGGGTGGGGGCGTGTGGGGGCGGCATGTGGGCACGGGAATAATCAGCCCCATTCTTGCGCTGCTACAAAACCCGCGGCGCAGCGAGAAGTGAACAGCGGCAGGCTGAAAGGCGGATTCAAAAGGCGACACCTGCAGGCGCTGCCGGTTGGAGTTGAATGGAGTCATGCGCGGCGCCCGCGCGTACCTGAGCCGCGAGCCATTCGTGTCCGGCGCGCCCGCCGCCGGGGGGAAGCGCGCGCCCGCCCGCCCGCCCGCGCTGAATGTGGCAAGCTGCGGCGGCCGCTCCATGGGAATGTCGCCACTTGTGCCGCTCGTGGTCGGGAGGGGGTGCGCTGCCCTTTCAGAGACAGACACAATTAGGCAAAATGCTCAATGAACATTATAAATGATGTGCGATCGCTCTGCAGATTGCCTGGCAAATCAAATTATATGGTCGCTCGCGGGCGATTTCTATGTGCTTTAAAAACTTAAACAGGTATTCGCCCATTAAATTAAAAAAAAAAAAAAGGCCGACTCAGGGATTCCGGAAAATACAACTGAAAGACTCGGTGTTGAATATTCACACATCCCCTTTGTTAGCGACTGACTTCACAATGGGCTTGGGGAGGGGGTGCGTTAGGACGAGACACATTTTTTACTGTCTTACATACTGCGGAGGAAGGCACCAGAAGTTTGCATTTATTTCAACTCACAATTACAGTGAGACTCTTTTTTTCTTTAAAGACTAAAATTCTCCCAATGAATGACTCGAGAGCTACTGTCATTCTAATCAGATGGAAGAAACATTGTAATCAGATGGAAGCACGCCCAGGCGCACTTGGGGAGGGGTAGGGAGAGCCCCGTTCTCCTCCTGGCCCAGCGTGTTAACCCTGGAGGGAGCCGGGAAGCAGGCCTAGCGCCGACCCGAGCCTTGCGCGCGTCCCCGCGGCTCCTGGGCTGCCCGCACGCGCCCGCCGTGCGCCGAGGTAGGGAGAGATCAGCGAGAGGAAGCATCGTTCTGCGCCGGAGTGGGCTCTGGCGCCTCGGCCGCTCTTGCTGCGCCCCAGGTTGGCCCGTGCTTTGCGGCTGGCGACTCTCGGTAGGGAAGAGGCAGCTGGAGGCGCCTCCGGGGTTGTGCCGACCCCCGCCGAGTCCAGGAGCTGTGCCGAGAGTGAGGGGCTGTCGCTGAGCAAGACCTACCTCGATTTTGGCTTCTGCGAAAGGAAGCAAATAAGCGGCTGCTAACCTGCCGACCTCCTCTCCTTTTCAAGTTTCTACTGTTTCGGTTTCCAGATAGTCGGCTAGATGGGGAGGGGTGCAGCTTTGTGGACCCTGGAGACAGCGGATATCGGAAACACCGGAAGAAGAGAACCCCGGAAAGCAGGTGTCTGGGGGCACCCTTGCCAGGGACTCTGTATTATCTTGGGCAAGTATTAACCTCCTGGGCTCAGTTTCCTCATCCATGAAATGGGAGCCAATGCCTCCCCTTTTTTCTTCACTGCATTTTTTTTTATTACTTTAGTTAAGAATGCCAATTTTTTGGTAGCTAATTATTACCTATTTGTTAGCTTTAAAGTCAGGAGCTATACACAAACCCCAGGGCTAAAAAAAACGTTGTTTGGAAGAACAACCCTCAAAAAACCATCGTCCGGAGTACTTTCCATTCCTCCACCCGTCTAGGACTCAAGGAAGGCGCTTTGTACCTGCTTGCTCCCTCGAAGAGGGGCTGAGCCCCGAGGATGTGGCTCTGTGTGTGTGTGTACACGCGCGTGCGCGTAATGGGGCAGCTTTCCAGAAAATTGAACATTTTCCTATCTCCTTGCCCAACACGTTTCCACGCTGGTACCCACAACCACTTTGCGAAAGAGCAATCAGTGAAGCGCAATTTGTGAATTAGCACGTTTCGTTGAGAAAGAACATCTTTATTGTAGTCTGGGTGGGAGAGTTCTGAAACGAGTTAGGGTCTCGGAGCCCCAGGGAGGCAGGTGCGCTGGCCTTGGTGCTGAAGGTGGCGATTGCACCTGTGGAAGCTGCACCTGTGGAGGCGACCTCTCTCCAGCCATTGGCCATCTGCTGAGGAAACCGCATCCCACCTTCTTCATACCACCTGCTCTGGGTGAATCAGTCTTTCAGGCTTCCTCTCCCTTCCCCCCTCCCCTTCCATCTCCCCCTCCCTCTTCCTCTCCCTCTTCCTCTCACCCCTACTCCCAGCCTCAAATGGGAATAACATACTAAAGCACACTGCCTTGCTGACTGCCATTCTTTCTGGGGTAAGATGAAATCTCAGTTGTTTAAATTTGCATTTATCTAACGGGCAGCAATGTTGAGCATTTCCTCACGTATGTATTGGACATTTGTGCTTCTTCTGTGAAATGTCTATTCATTTTACTTGCCCTTTTTTATTGGGACTTTTACATTAGGGGTCTAGCTTTTTTGAATTGTTTTTACATTCTAGATATGACTCCTCTGTCTGAAGAATTGCTGGCAAAAATTTATTCCCATTCTGTAGGTTATTTTTTCACTCTGTTATTTGTGTCTTTTGCTGTGCAGAAGCTTTCTAATTTGATGTGATCCCATTTGTTGATTTTAAGAACTATTTCCTGTGTAACACCATCAAGAAATCATAATAAATCTGAAGAGGCTTCAGGTAAAGCATGCATCTACATTGTTGGTAGGAATGTAAACTAGTTACAACCACTGTGAAAAGCACATGGAGATGCCTCAAAACACTGAAACTAGAAATTCCATTGGATCCAGCTATTCCCTTTCTATGGATCTTCTCAAAAGAGTTAAAGACATTTATATATTACACTGATCCATGCATACCCATATTTATAGCAGCCCAATTCATAATAGCTAAATCTTGGAAATGGCTTATATGTCCATCAGAAGATGAATGGATAAAGAAAACATGGTATTTATATACCATAGAGTAGTACTCAGCCATGATGAATGATTTGTTTTGTTTCTTTTTGTTTTGCTTTGTTTGTTCTTCCAGTACCAGGAATTGAACTCACAACCTTGAGCTTGCCAGGCAGGCGCTTTGCCGCTGAGCTAAATTCCCAGCCCCCATGATGAATGATAAACTTGAGTCATTTGTAGGAAATGGATGAACCTTGAGACCATAATGCTAAGTAAAATAATAAACTAGACATACAAGCTTAAATGTCTTGTATTTTCTCTTCTGTGAGAACTCAGAGTAAAAATAAATAGCAAAATAAAAGATACATAGTAGGAAGCAGAGAGATAGATCTTTCTCAAATGGGAAGGGGAAGGAAGAGATGGGGGAGGGGAGGGGAGAGGATGAAAAGGGAATTAAGATGTGTTAGGTACATGCACCAACTTCCCACAAGGAATGTAAGCACCAGGTGCTACACACATATACTAATAAACCACAGTAACATTTTAAAGCATACTGCCTGAAATATAACAAGTCCCCATTAATACATTTTAGTTAATTGTATGGATAGTTAGATATTTTTCTCTTAGTTTCTGTAATATCTTACTGTAATATCTTTCTGTAATATCTTACTGAATTTGGTGCAGGAATGATTTGCTAAATGATGGCCTTACAACACCTTAAGAATGTTTGAATTCTATCCAGTTTTCATCTTTTTTTTTTTGCTTTTTTTTCTGGTACCGGCAATCGAACTCATGACCTTGCACTTGCCAGGCAGGCACTGTGCCGCTGAGCTAAATCCACAGCCCCAGTATTCATCATTTGATGTCACCCTTATTGTGGAAATGTTTGGGCAACAAACACAATTCATCAAACCCAAGAGCTGCTCACCCATCACTACTTCCTCGTGCCATTTAGGTCCCTCACTGCCTCTGGGCTCAGAAAGAGCTGATTCCTTCTCAGGAAGGAAGATGATAGGGGCAGGGAATCTTGGAAAGGTACATGTGGTTTGGATTAAAGGAGGAAGCACAGCTAGTACCCAGTTACTAAGGCCATATGCATGTCATTTGTGAGGAACATTGCCCTTGGGCTAAATTTAGTCCAAAGACCAATGATCAATATTTCTGTTCACTTTTCTGTCATAATATTATATTTGGTAATTAAAACAGTCTATTTTTAAACTCATTCAAAATAGCAAGTGGCATTATAAATATATTTTAACAGCATAAAGAAATAAGTAAATGAGAATATTTTGCTTAAAACTAGAGAAAATAAGATGTAGTTGGGATCAAGTTATATACATGGCTACAGGTGGTCTAAAGCTTTGAGTCCAAACTTCCCAGCAGCCCATACAAACAGGAAACAACAAAATTCATGACTCACAATGTCTAAGGTAAAAGTGAACTGATTTATCATGGGATCACAATTTGTATGGTACTGTTATGGCTTGTGTCTAGATGTCCCCCCAAAGCCTCATGCAGTCATGGGTGGGGCTCTTTCAGAAGTGGCTGAATCTAGACTGTGTAATGCTGGAATTCCTTCATGGTGCAATGCTAGGATCAAGGGTACTAGAGTTGAGGCTGTGAGTGCTACCTGCCCTGAACAGCCTGGCTAAAATATAAGGCACAGAAAGAGCTGTGGTATTCCTCTTGCTTGTTTTGCGACTTTCTGCCCACCATAAGCTGTTCTCCGCAAGCCAGCCTGCCTTGGAAACA